AGACTAGCGAACAGTAGGAGCTGTGGTAGAGGAAATACGAAGAGCTGGTGTGAAATTAGTGTATGCTCTGTGTATATAACATTGAAAACCCATTAACTACATCAAGCACAGTATTCAGCATCTCGTCGTGGAATTTAGCTGTCTAGAAACAATGTCTACTATCAAAATGCTGAGAATGCGTTTGAGCGACTAGAATACTGCTGTGTGTTGCATAAAACACACCTCCACCCCCATCTCCCATGAATCAAGCAGAAGTAGTGTCATGATGACTCTCCAGCTGCCTGCTCTGCTTCCCAGAACGTAGCTGGGAGTGCTCTGACCCAGCTGAGCTTCTAGCAGGAACAGTTCATCAAATGTGACCAGCTCGCTGCTCACGGATGAAACACAGAAGACCAAAGGCTTCCTTTCAGAAGAGACAATCTCCCTAAAGACATTACAAGCATAGCCTGAATGCAAAGGCAAACAATGACTACGTTGTTTACAAATGTCAGAGAGATATGGGGCCACTGTCGATGGCCAGGACTTCAGATAAGGTGGCCCTGGCTTCTGATGATGAGCTGTTTCGAAAGTCTTACAATGTTTTGCTGTCTTTTTGTCAGCATCCATAGGTGATAGATGAGAAAAGGCTGGGCAAAAATCTGAATTTTTCCTGTGTACAGTGAACATAAGTCAATGTAAGTAAACTGTGTGTCAGATGAGTTTATTTCATAAAAGGTATTAAAATGATGTGGCTTTTTGTAAACGTGCAAGGTTATTTAATTATGTGACAGGGCTAATGGCTAAGTATATTAGTCTTTAATTCCTGTCATAATCTTATTGGTTGAGTGGAGCTACTCATCTCTATTTCAGTAGTTAGGAAATGGAAGCACAGAGTGCTAAAATGATTTCCTGAAGTAACAGCATTAAATGTTCATGGTAGGACTTAAAATCCAGGCATATCTAATGTTATACTTTCTCTTTCTTGTTTATTTTTTTAAACACGGTCTTTAAAGTAGTTCAAACACTCATATTTCAAATGCAAAATGACATCTGAAGTATGTATCCTCTTTCCATGACCACCTTCTTGCCTCATGGGTGTAGCTTATATCGGTTTCATGTACATTATTCTGTATTTCTTATATAAACAAAGAACAAACAGAGAGAGACAATATTTCTCCCTTTGTGGCACATGTTCAGTGTGCATACAGTTCTGCATCTTGGGTTTTTTTTTTTTCATGGCTTCCTGGGGGGGTCCTTCTTCATTCCTCATTTACAGATTCAAACACCTTCAGTAACTATGAGGCCATGATTTACTTAGCTGTTTCTCTAAAGGGAGCCACCTGTATTCTTCCAAAAACCTGTATATGTTTTAAAGGGACTCTAAAACCAAAATAGAAATACATAAAAAATCCAATCATTTAAAAGATAAAATCCTTTCTTCAAAACGGAGTACTTTGGGAACTGGTGAGATGGCTCGGGGTAAAATACTTGCTGTGCACATTAGGATTCTAAGCTGGATTCTTAGCATCCATGCAAAAGGCCAGGAGTGATGACTCACATCACATCTGTACCTCCAGCACTGTGTGTGTGTGAGTGCATGCATTTGTGTTGTGTGTGTGTGTTGGAAAAAGTGGGATGTAGAGACAGGCAGATCTTCAGAGCCCACTGTCCAGCTAATCTATAGAAGTCAGTGAGCTAGCTCTATATTCAGTTGCACAAACTAAATAGATAGAAAGTGATAGAAGTCATCTTACATCAACCTCTTGCCACACACCCACACCCACACCCACACACACACACAGAGAGAGAGAGATGAACTAAAATAGTTTTGTTTAAATATAATACAAAGTTAAGTATCAATGCAATAGACTATATATTTTGTCCCCCAAACATATTTATATATTGAAGTTGTAATTCTAATAGAGGATTAAGTCACAAGGGAAGGATTTTATGAGTTGGATAAGTACCTTTGGTAGGGATCACAGACAGATTCTGCCTTGCCTGACATGTGAAGCACAGGGAAAGGGCTCAGTAAGAACGGCCTATGAAGCGGAATCCCTAGTGCTTTGACCCTGGACTTCTCATCATTCAGAAGCATGAGAAATAAATTCTTTTTTTTTTTTCACTAGTGACAGTTAATATTGGTTGTGAATTGACGGAATCTTGGATCACACGGGATGAATTTCTGGGCATGTCTGAGGTTGGAAGATGCTCTCATTATACTCCTGAGCTGGGGCTCAGGAGTGAGTAAAAGGAGAAAGTGAACTGAGACAGCATTCATGTCTCTCTGCTTTCTGAATGTAGAAATAATGTGACCAGCTGCCTCAAAATCCTGCTGTCATGCTCCCCCTATCATGATGGACTGTGCACCCTTAAACCGTGAGTGAAAATGAACCTTCCTTCCTTAAGTTGCTTCTGTCAGGTATTTTGTCACAGAAAGAAGAACAGTAACTAGAGGACAATAACCTGTGTAGTTTGTGGTATTTATGGTAACAGCTTTAATGCCTACAAAAACATGCTTGCTTCGGAGCACTGTCTCCCATTTCTATAAGCTGGAAGTGTGAACAAATCTCAAGACTTAAACTGACAAAGTTCTAAAAAGATTGAAAAAAAAATCATGAAACTCTTGTACCTCTTCAGCATACTGTTGCTGTAGCTTTCTATTTGTGGGTTTGAAGAATCAAATATTTAATATTGAATTACATATCACCCCTGTAGTGAAACTCCACATGAGATGCATGTTACATCCGGCAGCTCCCTTGGGTAGTTAGAACACTGATTCTTATTAGAGCAAACCTAGACCCCCAAATAATTTAAATCTTCCCTAGATCTCTTTACATCTTCTATCATCAATCTTCAAAATATCTTGTCAATTTTGGTTCCCTTTATATATAAAAAAAGAAATTACCACTTCAAAACACTGTGGTTTTTTTTTTTATAGGTTGCTTGATATAAAGTGATTCTGAACACTAACATGGAAAGGACAAGTACTAAGAAAAGCAATAAAAGTTCAGAGAAAAATACCCATGAGCTAGAGAGAACATTAGTTTCTTCCAAAGGGAATGGGATGAAAGAATACAGAATGTACAGGTTTTCAAAGGAGGAGAAAACGTCACAACAGAATGAATAATGTTGAACTTAAGACCTTCCCAGAACATAGACTGGTAGAAAGAAGAATGCTGTGGTGGCAGCTACTAGTTAATATGCTCTGATTAAAGCAACTATATGACTTTATAGTCGATTTGGAAAACATGGAAAAGTATAATGAATACAGTTAAGATAATTCACAAGCAGATTTTCCAGAGGTAAGAGTAACCATTATGAAAATATGACATAATAGTCTCCACTCCTTTCATTTACATATTACATATGTGTAATAAGATATAAAATATGTATTGAAAAATTGAGCCATGCCATGAATCAACTTTTCCAAATGGTCTCACCCCATTTCTCACACCTTTTCCTATATTATGTATTCTTTGAAAATGTTCTTTTTAATGCCTGGATTATGTGGGGTTTAAGCAGAATTATTTGCTTTTCTTTTTCTGTTTTAGAAGTAGCAGTGTGATAACATTTCTTGTCATAAATCTTATTATCTCTATTAAAGGTGTATGAGCATGTCACATTCAAATTCAAATCACTCAGTATACCCATTCTTCTGAACTCACCACCAAAACCCTTTGGGGATGAACTTCAAAAGAGCATATCAAACAGCTGATACCAGTTTTTGAATCATTTGCTGTCTGTACTCACCCTACTATGACATTCATCTTTCGTGCACTCCATTTCTTCTAGGTCAGCGGTTCTCAACCTTCCTAAAGCTGCTACTCTTTAATACAGTTCCTTATGTTGTAGTGACCCCCAACCACGAAGTTATATCATTGCTACTTCATAACTGTAATTTGCTACTCTGATGAATCATGATGTATCATGATATGCAGGGCATCTGATTTGTGATTTCGACCCACTGGCTGAGAACCACTGTTCTAGGCAACCTGATTAGTCTAATTTAGGCTAACTGGGTTAGTCTAAATGCAATAACATAAAACTTGGCTGACCCAGATTTCTCCAATATCCATATGCATTCAATTGCTATATTCTGCTTATTGAAAACTACCCCATGCTCTCAAAAACACTTACTTTATCTCATCCTTTCATTTAAAATGATGCATGATGGGCAACAAAAAAAGAAAAAGTACAGTCGATGGTAGTTTATAAAACTATAGGTAAATATGTAAGTTACATATAGTGGGACTGAAGAGTTTTCTTCAAATTTTAAATATCTTTGACACTTAAGTTGCAGGGATCTTAGGTGCTCTCAATATATTGAAGTTCTTCATCACACTATTATGAATTAAACGGCCTTAATAGTCCAAATTTAAGTTCTCTAGTCTATATTTTAAATCATTCTGTTCTCAAGAAGTGAATAGAATTTCCAAAATCTCTAGAGTATAGGCATGCCCTAATTCAGTTAAATAAAGGTACATCTAAAACATTTCCCCTCTGTTGACCAATGAAAGACAAGCTAAAACAAAATGTATCAAAACCCCATCTCCATCAACGGTCATATTAACTTTAGAATTACCCAAATTCTAAGACTTCCCCAGAATTATTGGTCAGCTGAGGGCAGCCAGGGCTGAACTATTCAGTTGTGCAGGCTGCACACCACACAAACCTGGAGGGAGCAATTGGACCCTGATCGATGTGATTGGTGCCTTGTGGGGCTGTACAGTAGGCAGTCTGTGCAGCTGTACGCGATAACCTTGAAGTTAGCTCCAGTAATTCTATTTGCACATCCATTACTTATTTATGCATCTTTCTCTCTGGTGAGCAATGAAAAAGAAAAGTTTTGGAGAGAAGTTGTCTTTAAAGCTACCTACTTTTCTGCCTCTTTTAATGAAGGAAATTCTGTAAGGAAACAACGACAAACTTTTCCTGGCTCCCCTCTGTCACAGTGATAACATTTTCTGTTTGCCTCTGTTCCCATGCAGCCACCCACCCACCAGGAAGCAGCAGGGTACCTTGTGTGAGTAACTGCAGGTTTCTGACTTCTTCCCGCACCTTCAGTTGGAGCACCTGCTGCAGGATGTGCTGCCTTTGGTTCTCCTGGGCGATCCCCATGCGCTCCAGCTTCTTGTCTGTGAGTCTCAGCAGGGCTCGCCCTGCAGGGGTTCAGGAAATGGAGAAAGGGGCAAGTGAGCAATGCCCTGGAGAATGACTTCCATCTTAGTTTTGCCTAGACACCCGCCCAGACAAAAAAGTTTATACCTAAGTGCAGCTGATTTAGAACAGGGGACCCCCATGATCTAGGACTGATGGGGACTGATGATTTGCACAGAGAAAATCCACCTATGAAAAAGAGAGCCCCGATTTTTACGTAAAAGTGGCAATCCTCAGCAGACCGACACAGTGAGGTAGGTAAAAGAGCGAACTTTAACTTGCATATTTGGGTCACCAATTGCAAGTTTCCATGGAAACAGAGCTGGGTTCTTAGGCTGGAGCCCTTTGTTGACACCCCATCTGCAGAACTAGATGCTCTCCCTATGCTTATGGAAACTCCAGCCATAATTCTGTTTTCAGGCATTTAGCTCTCTGGCTCCAGCTGTGGGGAGCTTTGCTCACCCCAACATTTGCTGAGGGCAAAGGGCCCACAAGGAACAGGGTAAGAGGAGGCCACAGAGGGATGCAATTAAGGAGGGCAAAACCAGGAGCTCTGGTGCCTACAATGCTACATATTTAGGTCTTGGCAACTCAGCATCGTTCCTTTTCAACTCTATTTTTTTTTTTGCCCCCATATATTTGCATGTTTTCTTCTACCTTGATTTCTATGAAATCCCAAAACCATGCCCTACTATGCATTTGCCTTTAAATAAGGACACTTTAATCTAAGGCTTACTTAAGATCACGTAGGGGAGTGATCTTGTTAAATACCCACATTTACTTTCTTTGCACAGTTTGAGCTGTCACATCTGCAGATCTGTTCTCATTTCTATCAAGGAGAAGAGACAGAAGCAGCTGCCTGCGGTCAATGGAAAGTCTTTCAGTACAATTTTGTATGGACTTTGGAAACTGTTGGGAAGTCCACACCCATGTCTTGGGTGTATGCTGTTCTTTTCCTAAACACTACTCTCTCTTCTCTAGTACCCAAGTTTAAATCTACATTAGAATTGCTCCTTAACAAACTGTAACTTTACTTCTTTATGAAAAAAGAAATTAAATGTTCTATCACTTTAGCAAAGAAACCAAACAACTAAAAGGTGAAGTTAATGGGCATTTCCCCCCAAGGAACAAGAAAGTCCATGAATGTAGCTGATGAATGGGCAGCCCTTGAATAGACACAGGTGGGGGGAGAAAAGCAGCTAGAGAGTCAGTGCTATTCAGTCTTCATCTTTCCTTCCTTTTAACCCTTGCACAGAACATTACTCAAGATAAGCTAGGTTATATGCTACCTATGGTGGCTTAACATTATACAGCAAAGCTTTCTGGTTTATGCTGAATGGTTTTTGTTTGTTTGCTTGCTTGCTTTTGAGCCAAGGCATTGCCAAGAAGCCCATGCTTTCCTCAAACTTAAAAATACTATTGCCCATAGGCTGCTCAGTTTCCATGTGAATTTCCTACTAAGGGGATCAGTGGCTGTCTCTGATATGAACTCAGTGGCCTGCTCTTTGATCACCTCTTCCTGGGGTGGAGGGAGGGGGGAGTGGGTGCAGCCTTGCCAGGCCACAGAAGAAGATGATGTAGCCATCCCTGATGAGACCTGATGAGGCTAGGATCAGATAGAAGGGGAGAAGGTCCTCTAGGGGAGGGACCAGGGAAGGAGCATAGTGGGAGATGAGGAAGGGTGGGTGGGAATGGGAGGGGACTAGGTGTGTATGGGCCCTACGGCCAACATACAAAGTGAATGAATTGTAATAAATAATAATAAATTTAAAAAACATAATTAAGAACAAAATATGCTCGAGAACTACCAGAGTAAAAACTTTACCTTAAGAAATTATTACAAATATACTTTTGAGACCCTCCTCCAATACTATTGCCTTACACTTTTAAGTACAGAAAATTTTGGTGGTCTACTGTGCCTGGATTTATTCTTCATTTTGACTAGAAGTCTATCTTCCTTGAATTTGGTAATCTTTTTTTTTCCTATTAATTACACTTTATTCACTTTGCATCCCCCCATAAGCCCCCCCTCCTCATGAATGCCCCTCCCCAAGTCCACCAACAGGGAAGGTCCTCCTCTCCCTCCTTCCGATCCTAGTCTATCAGAACACATCAGGAGTGGCTGCATTGTCATCTTCTGTGGCTCGGTCTTGATAACCAAAGCAAAAGTAGAGAATGGAATGCTTGGCCTGTAGTTATTTATTAGCCAGAACCAATTACATGACCCTTCCTACTCAGAAAAGAGCCAGCTGTAGGCCATGATATGCTATAATTCCCTCCAACCCTCAGCCAAAAAGTGAGGTGCTTACGGTAGGCAGAAATATTGGATTGGAATATTGATGACAACGACACTGGATCATTGTATTGGAGGAAGAAAATGTGTGTGTGTGTGTGTGTGTGTGTGTGTATGTGTTGTCAGTATTCTACAGCTTCTGTGGCATTTATATCTGAAGGAAGAGGCCTCATAGAGTCAGCTCAGGCTTGGTACCACCAGATGATCATGGGGCCCATGAAAAAGAAACAAGACAACAAAAGCAGACCAACGCCCAATTCCATTGCCTTCTGTAGCAAGATAAAGCAACAGCTCTAGAAGATTTTATGTTCTCATTTACCTTGCATTGCCAAAGATGTTTTATAAAGGTATGTGAAGTATAAGGACCACAAGATGGGAGAAATCATATGTCAGCCAGGCAGCCCATCAAGAGTCACTACAAATGTATGGGGAACTAGAGAGAGAGAGAGAGAGAAATGGTGTTGCAATGCAACAAAAGTCAGAGTAAAGTGTTCACAGATTCTAGATGCTGAGAAAGATTTCAAAATGGCTTCTATTCCACACATTCCAAAAGTCATTCCAGTAACATCTCACTTTGAGCCCATTTGGAACTTCTGAATTTCACAAATATAAGATAATAAATGTAAATAATTTTAAGCCTCTAAGTTTTTTTTCACAGCAACTGTTATCTTCATGAAGGGAATTAATATCACTGTAAGAACGCAAATAGACTTGTTCAAGTTTAAGCCTGAAAAAAAAAAATCTCAACATGGCGGAGGGATGTGAGCACAAAGTCTCATCCGCAGCTGAGAAGATATTGACAGTTGATGACTTTTGGGAAGAGGAGAGTCATTTTTCCTTAGGGTGTGACCCTGGCCTGGTAGGCAAACCATGCTCCTGGGGATGACCTCTCATCCAGTAGTATCTGAGAACCATAAGTTTAATTCAATGGGTTAAAAAAGGAGAGAAAGAGGGGACATGGAGTTTGATGGGTAAGTAGATGGTGTGGTCTGTAGAATTCAGATGAAGGAGGATGTATATGATGAAAATACATGTATATGAATAAGATGCAATGGTATACAATTCTCAAAGAATGAATAAAACTATTATTTTTTAAAATAACTTAAATTTAGAACTATGTATTTCATTTCCTTCTCCAATTTCTATGTTGTAGTCATAATGTAGAGTAGAGGAACAGTAATCTTGAGTCCTGTGTCTGTCTGAGGAGGTGACATTGGGACTTGGAAGAAAGATAAGAGAAAAGTCAAGGAAGTCAGAGGAATGGAGAAGGTCATTACAGCAGTGTGGAGAAGATGTGGTAGGAAGCAGGTTCTGAGAGGTGGCTGGGACAGGGTTCAAGATGGCCTGGCAGGCTTAGGGAGGACTGGAGATTGCCTGTATGTGAGGTGTGAACAATTTTGAGCAAAGGTGAGTTGGGCATGATGCCAGGTCTTCACTTGCTATTTCTGGTTCTTATGAGGAGAATAGACTGGAGGTTGGGACATGGAAAAAAGTCAAAACAGGAAGTGATGGTGCCATAGAGCCGGGTGGAAGGGCAGGAGCAGTAAGGATCCTGAATCTATTTTTATGGCTTTCTAATTCCTAGAAGTAGTATAGAGGAAAGAAGGTCCTCAGTTGCCACTCGAGTTTCCAAACTTATCCACAATGGCTGGTGGCCCCTCTTATTAGCAGGAAACTGAGTCATTGCTCTAGGAAGGGATGTATTATAGGCAGGAAATCATGGTCTGTTTCTGCTAATCTATCTACAGCAAACATCTGGGATCTGCAGAAGTAATAAAATAGGTGGAACTAAAAAAAGGCCATTAAAGTGTCTTTCTTCCCACATTAGGAGTATTTTTCATTATTATAAGTAATAAGTTTTATTGGATAGCATAATCACATACTAACTTGGAAAAAAATCAACTTAACAGTGTTGAATGCTCCAATCAACATGCATGATATTTCCTTTTATTTATGTCAGTCTCTTTATCATGTATAATTTTCAGTTTATATTTTCCATATAAATTCATTAAATGTATCCCTAGTATTTTACATTTTGATTTCTAGTATAAAGACAGTATATGTTAAAAAAAATAAAAAAAAAATAAAGTGTCTTTCTTTCTTCCCCTTAGAACTCTCATTCTTTCATTCCTTCAATTCTCTCCTCAAACCGCCACAGCATTGAGTTAGCAGGTGTAAGGGGAGCATCTGTAGATCACAATAGGAGTTGCAGAAATAAAAGGTCATCTCTGTGACTCAGCCTTTACACTGATTATCCAGACCAGATGCCACCAATGATGAAAAAATATTCACAGGATCCTTTGACTTGGTCCAGAAAAAACTCCGTGAAGTATATATATATATATATATATGTGTGTGTGTGTGTGTGTGTGTGTGTGTATGTATATGTGTATGTATATGTGTATGTATGTATATGTGTGTGTGTGTGTATACTTAGTGTAGCCCTTATATATATGTTTTAGGACTGACTTCTTAGTATTGAGGCTCACCCCTGGGGAAGAATGATTTTTCCTCAGTCAGCAATTACTAATTCCTGGTATCTCTTCATCTAGGTATAGGACTTTGTGAAATTTCACCAATCAGAATTGGGAAGTGATCAAGTCTCTGAAGAAAGAAATTGAAGATCTCAGAAGATGGAAAGATCTCCCATGCCCATGGATTGGTAGGATTAACATTGTGAAAATGGCCATCCTGCCAAAAGCAATCTAC